GCGACTGGCACAGGACAGAGCAGGGTTTAGGGTTGTTGTACATAGGGTCACTATGAGTTGCAAGCGACTCGACGGCACATAACAACAACAACAGTAAAATTGGTACACAAAATATATTTACAACAAACAAAACAAACAAGCAAACCCCAAAAATTAGGATATGATAAGGCAGCTCTATATACAAACTAGTCACAAGATTTTGTTTCTTCTTTTTGAAGTTTATGGTCATGATTTCATGGAAAATGCTGGTCAACTGACTCAACAAAATATTTGGTATGTTTTTCTCTTTATTAATTCCTTTTACGAGTGGTAAGTGTCTTAAAAGACTGCACACGGCTATACAAGGCAAAATTATTGGTCTCTATTTATCTGAAGCACCAGAATAAGGCAAGTTAGAAGGAGGAGGAGCAAAAAGCATGTGTGAATAATTGTTCCATTGAAAAATCTCTTCCTTTGCCATGAGACCAGAGGGGCTGGACTGTACGTGTTTACAACCACTGAACCAAGATTTTTATTTTGATCCAAAAAATTGAATTGATTTTGATGAAAAAAATGTACGGAGGTCAATTAGCTAGACATAGCTAGCTTATAGAAATACTAGAGCAAATTATGAAGAAGTAGTATAATCAATAATATGAAAAATATAAAATGATCAAAACAACTGACAGGTGAGCAATTATGAAAGAAATGCAAATAAACAATAAACATGAAAAGATAATATTAATCAATGCTAAACTAAACTAAAATAGTCCCCCAAAGCACTGATTTTTCTTTAATAATTACTCGCCTGTCTTAGAAATGGTGTAGGAAGTCATGATATCTTAAATACTACTGGTATTTATGTATAACTGTATCACAAATACAGGATTAAAACACTGAATGCAAAAATTAAAAATCAACAACAAAAACAACCAATTCAGGCCTCTCCCCATATTTCCATTCAAGGAGGGAGGTCCATACCTTTGAGACTGTAACTTTGTAATAAATCAATCTTTACTATTTTACCCTCAAAAAACCTACAAAAACAACAAACACACACACAAAAAATCCACCCACCTGGTGGTATGACAGAAAAAACTGGATAAATTATGTATACTGTATTGAAACAGACGAGGGAAAGAACAGATTAGAAGTGATATATGATTGAGTATTATGGTTAGCACAGGAATCCAGAATTAAGGTTACATAGAGAAGTTTACTCGGGGTGGCGGGGGAGGGACGTGGGAATTGTATACTAATGAAGGAATTTTTTATTTTTTTTTATTTTTCTCTTCGGAGGGGGAAGCGAACTGGTGGGGAGGGGTGGACAGGGAGAAAAGTGCGGAAATGAATGAATGGAAATCCAAAACCTCTGTAAATGTCTATTAAAATTAATAATAATAAACAAAAAAAACCACCCATCAGTTTGCAGTCAACATTAAGAGCAACAATATATAGACTGGAGCAATCAAGACCAAAGGACAAAACTCTAAAACCATTCTGAATTCACTTCTTTATCATTTCTAGGCAACCAACCTGAGCCACTTTAATGGAATTCTGGGTGGAGCCTCCAGCATGATATTCAACATTGAATTTTTTAACAAGCTCCTCAAACCTAAAGGAAGACACAAGGGGGGAAAAATTAGCACATTAGAAACTGTCAGGTGACAATGGATACATGTCTACATTAGAAGTGTGTGAGATCAATTATTAGCGGAATTTCAAAATTACATATATGTTTAATTAAGTTCATTAAAATATAGGCTATTTTCCTGAACATATGAAAATGTATATCCTGTCCATTAGCCATTAAACTAAAATTAAAACCCATTTCCTTCAAGTCAATTCTAATTCGTAACTAAGGTTTCCAGGGCTGTTTTTGTCCATCTTTATATAACAGGCTTGTCCCATGAAGAAGAGCTGATTGAATCAATCACTCAGCATTTAGTTAGCATGTACCAAGGCACCAGCACATCTTATTAAACTAAACTGAAGGTAAAAATGAAAATTTATAAATTATTGTTATTATTTATAAGCAAGGCTTATTTTTCTCTATTACTTCTAGAATCACTACAATGTATTTTCTGTTTAAAATAATTTTAGATATCATGAAGACAAAAGTTTCAAAATACAAAGAAGGGACATACTCTGTGTGTGTGTGTGTGTGTGTGTGTGTATAAACAAGCTGGTTACTACTCTCTTAATGACATGGTATCTTTGTCAAATAAAGGTGAGAAAATACAATGAACCTTCATTAATTTGAAAAACTGATGAAAAGCCATTAACTGTTCTCAGAAGAAAATAAAAAGATTACCTACCCAAAGGGAAAAGCTACTTGCAAATTATATATATAATTGTTGTTGTTGTTATGTGCCGTCGAGTTGCTTGCGTCTCATAGCGACCCTATGGACAACAGCCCTAAACGCTGCTCTGTCCTGTGCCAATCACACCGTCTCCGACAAACCCATCCCGATTACCCCAACCACTGAATCAATCCACCTCATAGGGGGCCTTCCCCTTCTGTGCTGTCCCTCCACCCTACCAAGCATGATGTCCCTCTCCAAGGACCTGTCCCTCCTTGCAACATGTGCAAAGTATGTCAAACGGAGCCTTAGAATCCTTGCCTCCAAGAAGCAGCCTGATTTGACACTAATAGATCTTATTAAAAATTCATTACTGTTGACGTAGAAACAACTCAAAGTGACTGTAAACTACATTGGAGAAAATGGCCCATCTTCCTTGCATATCCCTGGTGAAGAGGCACCAAGATTCCTTGAGTCAGCATTATACCTCTCTGTGGACCCTAAAGAACTCATGTTGTGGTGGTAGTTGTTATATGACTTTGGCTCCATTGAGTCAGTACTCAGCCTTAGCTAACCCTCCAATGGGTTTCAGAGGTTGAAAGACACATGGGAGGAAATTACCCATCCTTCTCCTACAGAACAGCTAGTAGATCCAAGGCATATTCTTTTAGGTTTGCAGCACAGTTCTTTACCACTAAAGCCAACAGAACTCTCTAAACAAAAAATGGTCAAAAGTTTTTAACAGACATTTCTCCAAGAAAGATAGGTAAACTGGCAATAAGCAAATGAAAAGATATCTGTCTGGGAAATTTTACATCAAAGTAATATAAGGTAACACTTCACACCCAGTCAAAAGGTTTTAATAAAAAAAATGTAGATAATACATCACAACAAGATAAACAATGCAACTGAAAAATGGGCACAAGATTTTAACAGACATTTCTCCAAGAAAGATAGGTAAACTGGCAATAAGTAACATAAGGTAACACTTGTAACACTTCACACCCAGTCAAAAGGTTTTAATAAAAAAAAATGTAGATAATACATCACAACAAGATAAACAATGCAACTGAAAAATGGGCACAAGATTTTAACAGACATTTCTCCAAGAAAGATAGGTAAACTGGCAATAAGTAACATAAGGTAACACTTGTAACACTTCACACCCAGTCAAAAGGTTTTAATTAAAAAAATGTAGATAATACATCACAACAATATAAACAATGCAACTGAAAAATGGGCACAAGATATGAACAGACACTTCACCAAAGAAGACATTCAGATGGCCAACAAACACATGAAGAAATGTTCAAAATCCCTAGCTCTAAGAAAGATACAAATCAAAACAACTATGAGATATCATCTCACCCCAGTAAGAATAGCAAAACTTAACAGAACAGCAAGCAACAAATGCTGGCGAGGTTGTGGAGAGACTGGAACCCTTATTCACTGTTGGTGGGAGTGTAAAATAGTGCAAACACTAAGGAAGGCTATATGGCACTTGCTCAAAAAGTTGGAAATAGAAATACCATTTGACTCAGCAATTGTGCTACTGGGGATAAACCCTAAAGAAACCAGAATTGCCACTCAAGCAGATAGATGCTCTCCCATGTTTACTGCAGCTTTGTTCACAATAGCAAGGAGCTGGAAACAACCTAAGTGCCCATCAACAAATGAATGGATAGAGAAAATATGATATATTCACACAAGGAAATACTACACTGCATTGGAAAACAAGGAACTCATGCAATATTATTCAAAATTGGTGACCCTGGAGGACATTATGCTGCGTGAAATATCTCAGTCACAAAAGGTCAAATATTGCATAGTGCCACTGCTGTAAAACAGGACTGACATCAGGGTCAGGGGGGAGACTGAGAAAGATGGGATAAATAATGTATACTACATTGAAACAGATGAGGGAGAAAACTGTTTAAGAGGAATATGTGATTAGGTATTATTGTCATGACAGGAGTCCAGAATGAAGGCTGCATAGTGGAATAGACTTGGGGGGAGGGGGGGAGGGATTGTATAACAATGAAATAATTTTTCTTTTACTTTTCAAAGAGAAAAGCAAATTGGTGGGAGGGAGGGATAGGCAGGGAGAAAATGCAATAATAAATGAATGGAAATCCTCAGTCTCGGTAAACTTTCATTAAAATTAATAACAAAAATAGCAATTTCTCAAAAGTTAATAAGTATAATTTGTCTCAGAACTCCATTCTGAGGTACACACATCAGAGGAAGGAAAACATGTCCACATTGAAACCTGTGGATTAATATTTTGTTGTTGTTGTTGTGTTGTTAGGTGCTGACCAGTCGAGTATGATTCATAGTCACTGTATGAAGAGTGGATCCATACTCCATCCTATACTGTGCCACCTTCACACTTCTTGACAGAACGACCCCACTGCGGGAGTCAGCATGTCTACAGGGTTTTCAAAGGCCTGTTACTTAAAAAGTAGATGTCTAATCCTGCTTCCTAGTCTGTCTTAATCTGGGAGCTCTACTAAAACCTGTCCACCATGGGTAATCCTTAGGACATGCCATTGGCACAGCTTTTAGTATCACAGCAATGAACAAGTTATCTCACTACAGCAAACTGACAGACAAATGTACCAATTAGTACAATGCTCTTCCCAAATACAAAAAAACTGTCAATTTAGTTTGTACCTCTAATAGCAACTTAGTCTTTTACACTAGCAGTAGGATTCTGAAAGGTGTAAACTGATTGGTAGTTTTTATTCAATTAACAACCAGTTATGGGATGGAAGCCTCTTCTTTAAACCAATCTGGACCAGGTGGGAGGGCCTTTGTAATTATAAATCAGTTGACTCTTGCCCAATAGCTGCCTGTCTAAAGCAATAGGATTCTAGAAGGAGGAAACAATCAGTTGTGAGCTGGAAGCTTCTGGTTTATTATTTTAATCAGTTGAATATTTAGAGCAGCAATGCACTTAGGAATGGATAAACAGAATATGGTCTATCCATACAATGGTATATTATTTATTCATAGAAAGGAATAAGCTAATGACAAATGTTGTAGTAATTATGAGCATGGAAAATATTATTTAGGAAAAAACTGTGTCAAAGGCCATATATTCTTTCCATTATGAAAAATATCCAGAAAAGGGAGAAATTTAGAGATCAGATATATTTATTTAGAGTGTCAGAATTTATTTCTTAAATATGCATGTGGCATCTTTCTTTGCTTTGCAATGCTGTTATCTTTTTGTTCATTTTTATATACACAACATGTTTTGTGACATTTCAGTTAAGACTTGAAACAGGAAGTGAACATATGCTTCATCATCCATCTTGAAGTGTAAGGTCCTGTAATTCTTACACTTTTGAATTGATTCTCAGAGTAACACTAATAAACAAGCATTCATTTCTTTTTATAGAAAGCTTTCTTCATTGTCTAGAACAAGGAGAAATATATACTGATTTCTGTAGTTTTGTATTAACAATTTTGAGAATAGGATTCCAATATTGATACACCAATTTACTTCTTTAGAACTTTTTTTTTCATTTTTTTTAGTAATAATTTTAATGAACATTTACAGAGATTTTGGATCTCCATTCATTCATTGCTGCACTTCTCTCCCCGTCCAGCCCTCTGCGCCTCCGCCCCAGTTTGCTCCTCTCTTTGAAAAGCAAAAGAAACACTCCCTCCCTGGTACACAATCCCCCCAAACCCTTCCCACCACCCCAAGCACATTCCACTATGCAAACTTAGTTGTGGATTCTTGTGATAACCATAATACTCTTATCATACATCACTTTTAAATTATTCTCTCCCTCATCTGTTTCAGGGCAGTATTCAAGTACTGTATTCCTCAATCCTCTGTTAAAGTAGGAGATTCAACTAAATCTTTTTTCAATCACATAATTATGTTTATTCTATTGCTTTCTTGTTTGTTTGTTTTTTTAAATTTATTATTTTGTGTATGTGTACCGTCAAATTGGATCTGACTGGTACAGAAGGAGAGTCCCCTCCTTCTCGAACAAAGCATCTAGTGGATGCAAAACACGTACCTCTGGGATTGCAGTGTAGCTTCTTGCCACTAGGCCACCAGAGCTCCCTTAATGTTTTCTTTACAATTGTTACTAGACCCTCTTAGCCCTGTCCAATAGAAATTTTGTGTGTGTATGATACAAATGTTTTGTATCTATGTCATTCAATAAGGTAGCCACAGTTGGTTAAGTGCTAAGGAGTTGCTCTACCAACTCAAAGGCATGCAGTTCTAATCTACCAGATGCTCCATGAAAGAAAGATGGGTATTCTCCTCCTGTATGTTTAATTACCTCTG